CAACAGGAGAAAGAAACCAACCAACGGAGAGAGAGAGAGAGAGAGAAAGAGAGAGAGAGAGAAAGAAAGAAAGGAGCGCGCGAGAGAGCCCACTGCTATAGCTCACTGAGACCAGGAGACCGCGGAGGAGAGAGAGCCCTGACGGACCTGCTGGCGCCTCGCTGGGAAGGAACTCACCCCAAAATGAGTGGTCAGCCGAGTCCCTGCTCCCCCAGTCACCCCCACGCTCGAGAGAAGGGCCTTAAAAAAAAAAAAAAAAAACAAAACAAAAAAAAGCAGGTTTCACTTCATTCCATCCTTCTCTTTGCGAGCAGGGCGTTGCTACTACTTTTCAGAGCAGAAGGGGGAGAGGAAAACCCTCATCTCAGAGTTGGTCTCGTTTCTAAGGGGTACTATATTTTAGCAGTAACTGTTTACATTTTAGAAGCAGAGTATCTGAGAGAAAAAGAGAGAGAGAGAGAGGGAGGGAGGGAGAGTCCCTGACTCGGTGACAGCAAAGCCAAGCAGAAATCCAGCGGGATCCAGCTGATGCTCAACTCTGAGATGCAGGTTTTGTTGTCCAACACTGGCTCTGAAATCTTAGTTGTCATCGTGTCGCCCACATTCTGAACGGGTCTTTCGTGACGAGGTGGTTTTAAAAGAGATCCTTTCAAAAAAAGGAGCACTGAGTTGTTTTTTTTTTGTTGTTTTGTTTTGTTTTTTGTTTTTTGGTTTTTTTTTTAAAGAAAAGAAGTTTGTCTCTGAATTCTTAGTGGTGGACCTGGGAGATCCTTGTTCTGAGAAGCTTATATATATATAAAAAAAAACAAAAACAAAAACAAAACAAAAAAAAATATTGTTTCAAACAAAACTTAAATTAGAGCACCAAACCTTGAGAACTTTTTTCAGTGTGATTTAAAGTTGCAGCAATCAGCCTCTTCTTCCTACATTGGATAGCAGTTAGAGTGAGAGGAGCCTGCGCGCTCGGGCAGGAGGAGGGTTTCAAAGTGTTTTCTGTCTGCTTTAATTGGCTACTGTCTGGACTCTACTCTGTGAAAAAAACAAGCCTTTCTGTCAGATGAACTTCGTGCTTGATAAGGGGATTGGGGTTCCTGTGCCCTTCGGCCCCTGGAGGGAAGATGCAAAACAAAAAACAGCCCCTGCTTTGCCCGCCGCAGATCGGGGGGAGAAGGAGCGGAATCCGGGGATTATTTTGGTGCGGAAGGAAAGACTCCACGGCTCCAGGTGGGACTCCTGGACAAAGCAGGCAGTTGGTGGAAGGTGGCCTCTGAGGAGCTGGGTTTAATTAGAGATAATGGGTCAGGCTTTGGCGTGGCTTCTTCGGTGAGGAGAGCAGGGAGGTGCCAGAGCCAGGTGTTGTTGGCAAAGCGAACCCGGAGCAGCTTTTTTTTCAGGTAGTGGCCACGGCCGTGCCATCCATGCTGGCTGATGAGTCAGGACTGAGAAGAACAGCACATTAAAGAGAAGCCATCCAATTTCTAAGTTGTACCCATGTCTTAACCAGTCGTATGGGAACACTGGGAGCGTTTTATTTCTGTCTAAACCTTTCTAGAAGCAGCAGAGAAGTGACAATTCCTGCAGAGCCCCCTTTTTACCAGACCCCTGAATCAGACTGACCTCTACCTCCCAATTGGCCAAGAACAGTAGAGAGTGATCCACTAACCTGGGTGTTTTTTCAAGTTGGAGATGAGTTAGCTTTATACTCAAAAGGGCTCCAAGTGTTTCTAGTCTTTTTTTTTGGGGGGGGGAGAACTCAAAAATACCTCTCATATGAATGTACTTCGACGCCGTGAAAACCCCACTTTTTGTACCTGGGGGGGGGGCAGCCCTTCCATTCCTGTCCTTTCCGTGGGTTGTTGCCCCTGCTTTCCCAACCTGTTCTTGCTGTAGTTTCCCCAGGGTGTCTCCCCCCCACCCAGTGCAGCCCCCCCAGTACCCCAGGACACAGATTCACCCTTTGCCTTCGGTCCCGCCCCGACCGGAGTCCGAGAACTGCAAAAAAAAAACCAAACCCACAACCCCATTCTTTTCTCATCAAAAGCCTCCAGAGTTTAGACTTCTAAAAAAAAAAACAAACAGTGAAAGAATGGAGACACAGGCCACCTTCCTTCCTCGTGGGATGGACTGTTTTATTTATTAACATTTGCCGAAGGGCTTTTTAATTTTTATTTTTTTTCCTTCCGTAGGCTGCGTAGTTGGCGTAGACTTTTCTGATAGGTTTGAGCTGGACCCCTCTGTGCAACGCTTTCCATGAGTAATGTAGCCCCCCCTTCTCTCCCCTCACCCCTTTATTTCACTGCTGGGAATGCTTGGCCTCTGCTTTGTGCTGGTTTTTTCCTTTGTAGCGCAGTTAACTCTGAGTTTTACAAATCCAGACATCAGTGCTAGCACGGTGTTTTAAAAAAAAAAAACAAACTCTCTTTTGATTT